TTTAATTTTTTTACAATTAATTTTGCCTTTAGTTTTTATATGGTTCCCAAGTGTTTTGCACAAAATGGTTACATTAAAAATAAAAATTTATACATTTGCAAAACATATTTTTTCTGAAAACCAGTCTTTGAGTGATAATTTTTAATATTACATATAGACAATAAGACACTATCTGCAAACACTTGAAATGAAAATATATTTTAGATTATCTGCTAATGATCCATTAGAAATCTATAATTCACCTTTACCTAATCCTTTAACAGATTCTTAGTATTCTGTGCGATAATCCCATTAATGGTTAAAACATTACACTAATTTAAACTTATTAACCACTTAATTACGTTAACCATTATTGTTAAAATTTAGATGAATATAATAATCAATTTGAAATCAATAATTCAGCTTTACTTAATCTTTTAAGTGGTTCTTAGTATAGTTCCAGTAATGGTAACACATTTTTACTCGCATTAATTCAGTACCATTAATTGCTTTGACCCCTATTGTTAGTTTTTGGTTTTTCTCCTAGTTATGATTATGGTTTTTAATAAAGTCACAAACAATAATCTAAAAATTATGATTGATGTAAAATAGAATTTATTTTTGTTTAGGTTTACAAAGTACCTCGAGTGTAAGAATTGTGACCGGTAAATATTTGTTCTGACGCATGCAGAGTCTAGATTTGCCTAGTTTGGAAGAAAAACTAAATTTCATGAAAGAACAAATTTGTCGTGCGAATGATACACCGAAGACCAAATTGAGGGTGGTTTGAAATGCAGTTACGTACCCTTTAAGTCTCAAGTGAAAGAAAGGTGGTTGAAAGCACATAAAAAGGAAGATGTATTTTACAAATGTTTCGTTCCTCTATGATTGGTTTGTGGTAAAGATAAAAAAAATGTATGAGCAAACCCAACACCCTCTTCTACACGATATTGTCGACCTATAAGATTCCGATTCGTTAAAGAGACTACTGTCATAACGAAAGAAGAAATAACTTCTGTGAAAAAATCAGCTAAGTCGCTAAACGCAGCAGAGGTGGACTTAAATGGAACACAATTTTTGGTTAAACATGTGTTCATTATGACAATGGTAGCCGAAAAGGTCTGTAATGCTGCCACTGATACAAAATCCACAAGCTGATGTTACATATGTGGTGCAATCTCTAAGGACTTCAACCAATTAGATTTTAAAAACCAGATTAATCATAAAGCTATAAAGTTTGAGCTTTCAGTTCTACATACAAGGATTCGTCTTTTTGAAAGCATTTTCCACTTGGCTTATAAATTGCCAGTGAAAAAATACAGAGAGAGAAAAACAGAAACGGAAAACAATATTGAAAAATAAAGAAAACTGGAAATCCAGGAAAGATTTTGCAACGAAACTGGTTTGTTGGTGGATAACGAAAGGCAAATTTTGGTAAAAGAAATGATGGAAACACGAGCCGAAGATTTTTTGAAGACCCGGAAGGGGCTTTCGAAATAACGGGAATTAGTTATGACCTAATTTATAAATTAAAGGTCATACTAGAAACGATTTCGAGCAGACATATAATTGATCCGGAAAAATATGACAAATATGCATTAGATGCTGGTCGCTTATGTGTGCAGCTGTATCCTTGGCACCCAATGACACCAACGATGCACAAAATGGTGGATCAAATGTAAACAAGCCTTCGTTTATAAACTATTTATTTTAAAACATGACACAAAACAGATTTTTTTCTTCTTTTCTACATATTCTCTTTCTCTGTTAATACACTTTTCCGAAAGGATTGGCAGTTTCTTAATCCCGTTTTCATAAAAAGAAGCGAGGCGGTTAGCTAACCAGTTGCGCACAAATGCCTCCACCTCTTCATTGGTCTGAAATATCTCGCCTCCCAGTGAATCTTTGAGTGGCCCAAACATATGAAAATCACAAGGTGACAAATCTGGAGTGTATGAAGGGTGTTCCATCACAGTCCAGTGCATTTCATTGATTGTGTACCTTCGTCTCGCTCATTGCGATTACTACTGGCCAAATGAGAATCGCGCCACTACCAGCCGCTTACATGCTGCTGAACATTCCTATTCCAATATTATAATAGCCGCGTTCACCTTGAATGACTTTTCCGTTTATAATTTTAAAAGGCTTGTTTATATTTGATCCACCCACGTACTTATTCATGGTGCAGTTATAATAAAAACTGCATTGTTGCCTATTGAGCAGCTGTCTGAAGAAGCCACGGAAGCACGTAACAAGCATTTCCACTCATACCGCCAAGACTTCTCGCGAAATTTCTCTTCAAACCCCCTCTTAAGTAGCATGAGGAACGTTAAAAGAAGAAAAATTAAGTCTTTTTTACCAGAATCAATTAATTTACCAATGTCTGCAAAGCCGCTTGAAGCTGGTAATTCTTCAGAAAGCGAAGATGAAAATTTATACGAATAATGTTAAATAAAATTGTATATCTATATTTTTTTATTAATAAATATAGGTTAGTTAGATATTAAAACCTTTGTTTTATTTATTAATATCGTTTAGAATTGATATAGACCAAAACATCTACAAATAAAACGGATTCAACGGAAACAGTCTGTAACTTCAACAATTATTCTAATTGTGAAATGGAATCACTCCAAGAAAACACTTCAAATTTTTTTAATGTTTTTTGTTGTGCAAATATTTATTTGTTACTTAAAATTTGATTTTGGTGTATGGCAGATATTCCAAACCGCTTGGGTCCGGTTTACCAAAAATATATTTTTTCTATGTTGCCTAGTAAAATGTATTTATTTTAGAGTAAAGCAAAATTTTTCCTAAAAATCTTTTACTTATTGTTGTTGCAAGATTTTTCACTATACATTCTGATTTTAGTCAAAACACGTCAAAAATTTCAGAAAATAAAAAAGATTGCCCATATTTCGATTAGTTTTCCTATTAATTTAAAACCATTACTCTGCGAGCTAAAGTTGTCCAATCCTTGAAATTATTCGTTTTCGGTGCCATCATCTATACCTACAGATTAGGCAGTTTCGTCTAGTAGTAATGTGTTTTGATCTAAATTTACTTACTTTTAATAAATTGTTGATTAGGCAACTCCGACACTAAACCACTTATTATACCAGATATTAGTACAATCAAGTGTAATTTCGATTTTATTTAATATATTTCTTTTTTTTTTTTTCAGGTAAGTACCTTGACATTATGCCATGCGGTGAGTAAAAGAAAGATTTACCAAAAATACAGTGTGTACCGACAATTTGACAATAGACTTGTCTGATAAACAGTACGGGACAATTTTATTCATCTAATACAGTGTAAGTAGCGCCCCTAATATAATGTTAAAATTCTATATGTTTAAATGATGACCCAAAATTGGGTCGTCGAAAAAATATTGTGTACAACTCGAGTTAATTGTCAGATATCTTACGGTTTGGCTATTATATCCACTATTGTTGCATAAACTACTAGATTACCCCATTTTTCTTAAATACTTATTCAAATTTTTAAACACAAATGTCAAAAAATTCAATTCACACTGAGATATATAGTATTTTCAAAACCTCATGAGTACATCTACCATAAATTCAGTATTCGATTTGGTACCGAAATTAATGAATTAATATATAACCGTTCCAATCAATATGCAATCTCAATGGGTAGGTTTAAAAAATGTTTGCTCGTTAAATATGTTATTGATACAAAAATAAAACAAAAATTAAAATTTATAAATTCTTCTCTTCGGCATGACTTGTTCCTCTCTCTGCACTGCCTTCTGCCGTTTATGTACTCCTTTTACCCTTATATCTGTTTGTCTCCTCTCTATGTCTATGCTAACCTTTGTATTTCTCTTTATCTTGTGTTCTCTTCTGTTTGTGTCGGCTCCGTCTGAATTTCTGCGTCTTTATACAATTTTGCTACAATCTTTTTCCATCTGACTTCTCAAACTTTCCCTTCTGACAGTCTCAATTTAAATAATAATTGAACATTTCGATAAAGAGCCATCCATAAATTACGTCACACGAATTTTAAGATTGTTTGACCCTTCCTCCGTCCTAGTCACAGCTGGTCACATTTGTGACCCTTCCTAGTGTAACGTCACATATTTTGCCATTTTACATCTGGAAATTATTTAATTAAAACAGCAGTTCGAAAATTAGTTTTACTTTTATTTAAATTATTTTTAATAAAATCAACATCAAATCGAACATTTGAAAAAATTAAAAAAACAAAAAACGATTGTTTATATCATGAAATATTCAAACTTTTTCTTCTTGAGTCCATGGATTTTGAACCCACTCCTTTTAATTATTTATTACTTGCATAGCAGTCACTTCGGTCTCGTTTAGGTTATTATTACCAGGAACATTCGTTGTGTCAACATCTTTTTCATCGAACCAAATGGCATTATCTGTATCCAAACAAAGAATTTATCTGGCACGTCTAGCAGCAATTCTTTGAGGATAAATCTTTGCCATGGGCAAAACTTCTTGTTGCCTCTTATGTGATTGCTTGTTAGTTAGTGGCCTTGTATGATGCAAAATATATATCACAGATACCACACGATCGCTTAAACAAGTACGCCTCAACACTGGGACAATAGCTATCATACGAAACTTGCTTCAAATATGATAATGCGCGGAGATCCAAAGATAGCTGAGTAACAGTGGAGCAAATTTACTTTCGGAGTCATCTTTTTCTATGGTTACATATCCGTTTGACGCCTGTTTAACTAAGACAGGTGGTGGTAAAAACCACTCTCGTAATAGTCGCCAAGGGCTAGATCGTCGCACACCACAACAAGGGACAACCTCGCATTTTACTATTTAAAATAAATATTGTGATTCACGCACATGATTTGCGTACCAAGTCGCATCATTTTTCAATACCTTAGCCTGTTCAATATCCAATCTAGTATCTGTTGGCACAATGTATTTGGCAACCACAGTAAAATCATCAATGACCCATTGGCTCCAAATATTAGCCAACACAATGCCTGCACTCTCAAAGTTTCGTTTTTCTAACTACAAGTCAGTAATTCGAATATTGGAATCGAGATGTAAACCAAAATTATCATGTTTTAATAGAACACCAGTAAGTTCGCGACTAAGAGGCGCCATTCGTAGTTCCACTCTGTTGAAAGCATTTCTTCCTGGAGCATTTGTGGCAATGTAAATAGCATCCAAGCCAAACATTTTAAAATGTTTTATAGCTGAAACTATAACTCGCTCGTATCTTGGATTTTCGTTGGGACCACCAACGCAAGTAAAAATAAATACAGGTTTTACAAAACCTTCTCGAGTTCTCATAAAGTTTTTGAAAGCAGGTATTTCAGAAAGTCTGTGTATGTCTGTGGCATGAGTCTCTGCATTAGAGGAAGAATGCTTTACACTATGAATTGCTACGTAGGTAGGCAGGCCCAGAGTGTGTCACAGCTTCATTTTTCCCTTCACCATCTTTCTTTATTACAATACCTGCATAAACAGAAGGAATAAGTTTATGTTTTTCCGCGGCCACGCGCATTAATATTGGTGCTTGAGCATTTGCTGCTGTAATACCTAAAGGCACGCATGCTTTGTCATCCATTGATAATATGAAAACTTGATCAGGGCCCAAAATTGAAGCTAAAGATTCAAGGTTTCTTATCGTAGCAGTACAGAATGTGCCATTTGTATGTTTCAAATGTAGCGTAGAATCAGGTTTGCATAGTTTAACAAGAATAGTTACGACGTGTCTTGTTCCTTTCTCTGTATTTACTCGTCTGGGAAGAAGTCTGAAGTATAACCCTGATCGACTGATACTATATCCCTGTTTACAAAGTTCGGCTTGTAAATCGTCCAATGTTTTGCAGCGCCTTATAGTTTCAGTACGACGTCGTTCATCAGCTGCGCCACCAAAAACTGCAATATCCTTTATGACTTCAAGTATACTGGATTGGTTTTCTTCTACTCTATGCCGACCAACACTATCTCGAAGTTTTATAGCTGATGCTAAGTCGGTATTATTTTTACAAATGTGACGTCACGAAATGTAAGACCCCTTCCACCCCTTGTCACACAATGTGCACTTCGTCGACCCCCTCCCCCATCTTAACGTGTGACGTAATGTATAGCTGACCCCTAAAAACCTCACTTGATTTTTTATTTCCAATATTAAATGTTTTCACCACTTTAATATTGTTAATGTCAAATTTTGACTACAAAAATATTTTTCACGTAATCACTTTACCCATTAGACATTTACGTATCAGAATATACATATAAAATAAACAGTGCCTTGTAAGAAATCTATTATTGTTTGTTCAAAATAAAGTTCAAAATTGTATATTTTTTAGAACAAATGATTCAGTACATTAGTATCATTCAAAAACACGATAAATCATTACATAGCGTAACGTAACCTCTAAATATGTTGTTTAGGTCTTTGAAAATGCGCGGTTCCGGTGATAAACATTACTCTTTCGGAATAAAAAAAAACAATATTTAGCATGAAATTTCAGATATAATTTTTAGTATGAATGATTCAGTACATTAGTATCATTCAAAAACACAATAAATCATATGACAAGACCTATTAATACGTTTTTGAACTCTTTGCAAATGCGCGGTTCCACGGATAAACATGACTATTAAAATAACAAAACCAATATTTAGCACGAAAATCCAGGTATAATTTTAAGTACGAATGATTCTGTACATTAGTGTCATTCAAAAACACAATAAATCATTACATAGAAAGATCTATAAATACGTTTTTTAGGTCTTTAAAAATGCGTGGTTTCGCGGAAACACATTACTCTATCAAAATATCAAAAACCAATATTTAGCACGAAAATCCAGATATAATTGAAAGGCCTTGGGACAAGAAAGGGATATGCCACAAAATCTGTTTAATAAGAAAATTAGGTTTTAAACATTATTTTAAATTCTGAAATAGGGTTTGTTAGTTTTTAATTATTTCAGCTTTACAATATATTTATAGAGGTTCCAACAAACATATGTACCTTTTTTTGAAACACTTTTATTAAAAATAAGGCAAAAATAGAACATTTTTGAAAAAATGAAGCTTGTCCTCTTTTTCCCCTTAAAAATTAATATCTAAATAAACTATAAAAGGATTAAAATGTTTGATCACGTTTCACTTTCATCTTTGCCTTCGATGTCCATATCTGTGAGGTTATTTATATCTTCTACAGCGTCTTCCTTATCACACTGTTATAGTCGGCAGCTCCTATTTCCTGGTAAAATGGAAGATATACTGGTGAAATAAACTGTAAAAGTTGGAAAATATTTTCTAATTTCTTTTTATTTAATGCTATATGACCATTATATTTTTGCTTTAGATCCTTTTAAAATAGGGAAGATTTTCTTACGCCTTTTTTCTCTATATTAACAGCTTTATATTCTTGATGATGAGGTGTTTAATGTACATAATATTTTGCTGCACTGAATCAAACTTAAAGCAGGTTATCTTTTCTTTATCGTCTGTATGGGATTTTTTTGTGATTTCACTTTGTAATTCTTAAAATGAAAAAATGTCCTGTTGTGTAAGTATAGTGACTTCAAAAGGGTTTGACTTCTTAGATTTTCTAACTGCCTCGTACCAATCTTCTGGCGTATATGCTTGTTTCATACGATGACGCTTTTACTTTTCGATAGACGCAAAATCGCGGTCGCATGGCAGTCTTGTGTGACCCACTACGAGGAACTTATGTTCTATAGTATGAAATATATTTTTTCTGATAAGCTGTTGCCATAAATAAATTATTGACCAATTCTTGTTTTGGCCAGAGGAGTTATCTGCGTAAACTATTAGTTTATGAGATGTTGACTTGTGGGTTTTAAAATGTTTCGTCGCTTCCACGCCTAGCTACATGTTCAGGCCACATATACATGTAAGCTTTTCCAGTCGTGTATCCCGAGGTTGTAAACTCAGACTTTTCTCAAAAGGTCGTACTTACAGTTAAGTTTGCAAGAGGCATAGCCTGTTGTAAATCAAAACTAATAACTAGCGAATTTTCTGTTTCTCCGGCCTCTTTTTTGTCTTCTTCCATTTTCTTTTGCATGTCTTCTGCGCGCCTCTGATGTAACTCCAAGTCAGTTTCTAGCTTCCTCGTTATTTTCGCATTCTATCTTAATTCGCAGGGAATCACAAACTTTACATGTATCACCCTTGGCATTTTAAATCCTTTGTTATACTCCGAACAAAATATTATTTTATATTTGTCTTCTTTCAACGCATTTGCGTAATTTTCCTGACACCAAGGAAGGTAGTAATCTCTATATAAACTGGTTTTGGAAAGGTCGTGATCGAGGTAGACTTTAGATGGGTTCCTTTGTCTGCTATAATGGCTTGGGTATTTTGGAATTCATTCGATGTGTTTCCTAACGTTTGCACAATCTTCTTTACAAATCTTGTTTTCGCTATTTCCATATTTTCCTCTTTTGTCTGATTTTGGTGTAATATTGCCTTCTTTCATTTTATTTACTATCCTTTCTACACTTCTTTTAAAAGTGCGCAGATAAAAATTCCTTCTTACAAATTTCGATCTCATTTCCATTATTTACTCTAACTCTGTATTTTACTGACACTTTTCTGACAAACTCTCTTCTCTTTGTTTTCTATGGGTAAGCTCTTTTCTTTGGAATAACTTTCAGGCAAGAAGCTATATAAATATTTTGCTTGTCATAATCCCAGAATTAAGTAAATATAGCGTTTTCCATTCCTGCCAATAACTCTCTACACTTATTTTTGGAAGGAACTTCGACTCCTCTGGTGTTTAGGTAGGTGTGGCCCAGATTTCTTTTTATTTTACGCTTGACTCTTTTATGTCTCAAGAGTATTTACAGCTCTCCATCGTGCAGGCAACTTTTTTTTAGGAGTTGACAAGGCCCCCCTTGAAACTGGTTTGGAGATATTATTGTTATCCTAAAAACAAAAAATAAACTGGTTAGAAGGTGCTATGCCACATTTGATGCAAAAAACATGCGATTTTAGAGTATTCATTTATTTACTTGTGTTCAGGCAGATGTTTAGGCCTTTTGAAGCAAATGTAGATAAAAATAATACACTCAAAATAATTCAGAAAGCCTTTATGTTAAAGATAAACGAAATGTTGTAAATAAAAAATGTTATCAAAATAATTTGTATTATAAAGGGATAAGCCACATGTTTTAAAAACTTACCTCTTCTGGCTCTGTACTGTCAGACACACTTTCGCTACCACTACAGTCGTAGTCAGGATTATCATCGGAGAGATTTTCAAAAGGATGACGCTCACTATCTGATTCGTATAAAGTTGAAAAGTCAATTTTCCTTTTGTACGCACGTAAACTCTCGGCCGCCATGTTTACAAATTATGTGGCTTGCCCCCTTATGTTCAAAAAATAAACTGAAATGTCAAAAGGAGACTTCAACCCACAGGCGCCATCTATGAGAAAATGAGTTTTCCTTTTCTGTATAGCTTTTATTTGGCTCCAGTTGTGGCATATGCTCTTCTTGTTCCAAGCTCTTCAATTTTTAAAACAAATTATTCAGTACATTAGAATCATTTAAAAACACAATAAATAATTGCAAAGCAAGACCTCTAAATACGTTTTTTATGGCTTTGAAACTGCGCTGTTTCGCGGAAAAACATTACTTTATCAAAATGACAAAAACAATATTTAGCCCGAAAACTCAGTTATAATTTTTAGGAAAAATGCAACCTGTAGCTTATTTTTATTGGAAATATTGCGACCATATTAGACACACAACGTTATGGGCTGTGTGCCCGTTCGATAATTGTATTTACTGTATTCTAATACGTGTTAATTGGAATATGTAGACAAAATCAAACCTTTAAAAATATGGTATAACTACATAATTTCTCTGCAACAATATTTCATACACCTGCCACTGGATCACAAGACGTTCCCTTAACCCTTCAACTCGTCGATTTCCCTTCGCGATAATTCGAAGTTGCCCTTTCTGACACGGTTTGTTTGGCCAGCTAACAATTAAGTGAAATGTAATCGACGTGTAATCGCGTTGATAAACAGTCTCAGTTGCCACTTTGCACGTTCTGTCTCTCTTTCCTATAATTATCAGACAATGGAATGAGGGGCTTTTGTTGTCGATCGCGGGGTCCGTAATAAATGGAATTTCATCGTTGTTCTTTGCGTTAAACGGGTTTGAAGATTCGATTTGTTTAGATGCAGGCTTAGAAAAATGAACATTCGTTGAGAGATTTGAGACAAATACACCTACACATATATACTTGATTGGGAAAAGGTGTTTGTTATCAGTAGCGGTGGATTAGTGGAAGGTAAAAGGGCAACCTTATCCTGAACAATTTTGTAACAACATTGCTAGTGATAAGAATGAACCAATAACACAGTGTTAGCAATTTTGCAGATATCATAGATTATGGGAACTAATTTGTTAAAAAATATTTCAGCTAATTTTGTTCAAATTAAAAAAGTGGTGTATTAAGGCAAATAACATGAATAAGAATGAATAGATAAGGTACAGTTAGCTTAAATTATCAATTAATGGTTAATATGTCGTTTTTAACCGTAAATTAAATTTATACTGGCAGCATTGATTTCGCTAACATTCCTTCCCCCACACCAACTTAGCTTTAGGTTTTGTGGGTTAGGAATGCGGACAGATACTGATCTATTCACTTATTATAATTTGTAAACAGTTTTTTTGTTTTTTTTATTGCAACATTTTTGTTGATATATTTTGATCAGTGTTCTATTTGATTTGTTTTGCCTCGAGCTGTCTTTATCTTCTCTAGCATTGTTCCGAAATCGGTAAGGTGATTACGTCACCCTCTCTTACGCGGCACAGCTACCTTTAAAAAAACAATAGATATTCACACGTGATACTCAAATCGCAGTATTGAACGAATGATTGGTCAAATAGTGTCAAACGGGATGCTGACGCTCATCTCCATATTGTTATCGCGATTAGACTTTCATAATCACCGAAGCTACAGCTTTTGACACGGCTTAAAAAACCCAAGTCATACAGGTATTTTTAACACAAAATATTACAAATTAAAAGCCTATGTCATTAGTTTTATAATTTAATAATAAGTTATCGTGTCCATGTTTGTAAAAAGCTATAAAGGGAGTCAGTCCCATTAGTGCGTAATTGTTCAATATTTTAAAAATATTTTGGATATACAGGGTGTTGCGTTTTTGCGTGGCAAATAATAATTTATGTTTTTTAAATAGAACACCCTGATTTTATTTAATTTTTGGAATGGTTTTGTAATACTGTATTTAATCCTAGAATATTTTTAGAAAGTATTACAGTTTTGCCAAGCAATTAATTTTTGTTTTGAAATTAGAAAATAATGTAGACCCCATTTTAAATTATCATAATTTAAATAAGTTTACATTGATTTCAAAATTGTTATGTATACAGACTTGTAAGATACTCTAACGAATAGTGGTGATAGAAATGGTTTATGTTTTGAAACATGTCCTAAATATGACTAATTGTAAGTTCAAATATTTCAGCATACATTTCCTAATAAATTTATCCAGCCAACGACACCTTAGCCAATAACACATATACAGGATGTCCCATCAGTGCCTAATTGATCGATAGCTGTTTTATTATTGGAAATACGAACAAAAAATTAGTATAAAACTTGTATGACCATGTTTAATAAATATTCTTAAATATACTGGGTGGTCCATAAACGAGGGGCTGACCAAATTTATACATTTTTAAAGCATTACATCCTGCAGGTTATACATATTTGATTGTTTTTTATCGTCAAACAATTTTAATAGACTTCATTTGTTTGCTTTGTTGAATATAGGGTTTGTCAAAATGCGGAGTCACGATTTTCTCAATGTTTTTAAATGGAATACCCTATATGTTATACCACCAATTAATTAATAAATACGTTTTGACACACCCTAAATACAACATAGCAAATGAGTAAAGTCAATTAAAATTTTTTACGATGTGAAAACAATCAAATAAACCTGCAGGGTATTTTGCTATAAAAAAGTATATATTTAGTGTACACCTCGTTTATGGACCACCCTGTATATTTAAGAATAATTGTTAAATATGATCATACCCCTTTTATATTAAATTTTTTTTCGTATTTTCTAATAATTAAACATATTAGTATCGTTGTATAAGAAAATTTATAAGGAATTTTACGCAAAGATAATATACAGGGTGTTGAATTTTGAAAAAATTGAGTAAATTGAACTAAAAATAGCCATATTTAAGACAAGTTTCAAAACACTCTGTATAAAATAAATCAGTTCTATCACCACTATTCGTTAGCTTAATATTTTAAAGGTCTGTATATTAAACAATTTTGAAACCAAGGTAAACCTACCTAAATTATGATAATTTAATTTTTCTCTATTTTTTAAAAACATTCTAGGGTTAAATACAGTAAAACCAAACCATTCTAAAAGTAAAATAAAATACAGGGTGTTCTATTTAAAAAACATACATTTTTATTTGCCAGGTAAAAACCCAACACCTTGTATATCCAAAAATATTTTTATACTTTCAAATTGCTGCTCTAGCGCTCTATATGAGTTTTGGAATACAAATCTGTTCGATACAGTTGTTTTACATATTAAAGAGACATTGCAAGTTCACTTAAGGTCAGTCTTTATTAGCGTCGCTCTTATTTTGACATCTGAGCATGCGCAATCGTTTAAGTTTTAGAACTGACTTTATTAAAGATAATGTTCTTAATTATTTAATACAACACTTATTCATATAGGTAATTAAGGTTTATATATTCAACATTTTGTACCTACCCTTTTCATCAATTTGCCTTGTTATAAGAACCACATTTTATGGCAATTAGGAGATCCCTCCATGTGAGATTGTTTAGGACTGGCAATGTTTCCGAAAATGGAAATAGACAAATGGGCCAGAATGTCTCTCGTTTAGGATCATTGGATTCATACCGAGATATGGCGTTCGAAAATATGCTATGCAAACTTGACGGCAGCATCGCATTGAGTGGGCTGGTCATACAAACCATTGGGACAGATTCAGTAAGCAATGGACTTACTTAATGGATCAGCAATTTGTTACGTTTGGGCTCATACCGTTTTCGAGATATGGCCTTCGAAAATATGCGATGCCAACTTGACGGTAGCATCTCATTGAATAGGCTGGCCATACAAACTATTGGACCACATTCAGTAAGCATTTTCATTTGCGGTACCTCACCTTCTACCGACCTCTGGTGGATTTTTTAGTACTATGCACTGTTTGGTGCCATATTTTAAAAAGATTTGAAACACCTGTAAATTGTAATTCATCGTGGTTTAAGAACAATGATTCTTATGTCAAAACTTAAGATTTGCAATAAGTTTAATTGTAGCATGGAATAAATTTGTCTCTATTTACGTTGTTACTATTTGTGACTCTCTAATAAAAAGGTATCAAACGTAACCTTACTCAGTCGTTTGGATTAAAGTTAAAATTATTAGAACTGTTTCTACAGCTTCATAGAGTAAGTATATTTTATAATTTTGATAGTGCAAGTAATTTGAATATGGACACATTACACATTGACTTCATATTGAACTTTAATATGAAATTAAACGCATAAACATCATTAACGAAAGTATATTTTTTCTATTGGTACATTATCTGGCTAAATATAACTTCTATTTTAATTAGTACATAGACAAAACGGAAAAATAAATCTAACATAGTTACAAAATAATTATAATTTAGATTGCAAGAATTAAGTAAACATAATATTAATAAAGTCATAAATATTAAATAAAACGTGTGTGTCTCTAGAATTATGACTTGGTATCCGTTATCTGATTAATAATTGATTATTTACATAAAAACAAAACTCAAAGTAAACATCATTGACCAGCTTTATTTGAGACCAGACTAACTTACTATCAATCATTCACAGACGTCTTCAAGTCTCACAAATAAAAAAACTCTTTAATAAAATGCACCGAGCTTATTGGCTCTCGACTTAAAATCTTTTGACATTCAAGAAGTACACACTCGCCGAGGATAATCATCGGTTAATACGATTTAACGCTAGATGGATTCAAGAAAGTAATAAGTTATGACGTTTCGTTGGTTAATTTCTTTAACCCTTTTATTATTATTAACGAGTGTAATGTCAGTTGAAGAAGACGAACCTGATCGAATACTTCCTAGATTTCTGTTTTTTATTTAGAAATTTTAATTTATTAAATTACTTTGCTGTCGACTAATTTGAAAAGTTGCTGGATTCCTTAATTGCTAATTAGCAATGGATTAGCGTCTGAATAGATAGAAGGAATAGTTAATTCTAATTGGGTTTTGATAATTGAAATGTACGGGGATTGTTTGAGA